TTTAAAGCTTGTTGGTCGTACAAGTAAATACTCCAATGTATGGTATTGACAATGAAGAGGCATTTACTCCGGTAGCCCGATATGAGTCACTGCGGCTTCTGCTAGCTCTAGCTACCACTATGCGACTCTACCTACACCACATGGATGTTTCGATAGCACTCCTTAATGGAGTGTTAAGGAGAATATCAACATGAGACAGCCAATGGGATTCGGCGATGGATCCCAAGCGCTTGTATGTAACCTTAAGAAGAGTTTGTATGGCCTCAAACAGGTCCCCCGAATATAGTAAGAGGTTCTGAATGTATTTCTGAAAATATTAGGCTTTTTAAGATGCAAGAAAGAGCATTGCCTATATCTAAAAAGTTCGGAGTTTAAAAGGGTCAAACATTCTCTTATTGTATGCGTTTATGTTGATAACCTAACGATTACGGGCTCACACTTGAGTTCTATAACTTATCTTAAGACCCTGCTTTCTGCAAAGTTTACTATGAAAGACTTAGGCAACCTCCACTATTTACTTAAAATGGAGATTAAAAGGAACCTCGAAAGAAAGACTCTGTGTCTGTCTCAACAAAAACACATTCAGGACCTTTTGGAAAAGTTTGAGTTGCGTGGCTGTAAAGTAGCGCCCATCCCACAAGCTAGAAGCGTTGTTTTAGAAAAGAAAGAGACCCTAACACCCGAACAGATAGCGGCCCAGCCGTTTGGTTATAGGGATTAGTGGGTTCATTAATGTACCAAGTTATGCACTAGACCCGATATTGCTAACGCAGTATGGGAGTTAACCCTTCTAGTCCCGCTTCTTCTGCTGTATAATACAGCATAGGATTATGCTTGAATTTAGTATACATATCTATCTTGCTACAATAAGACACACTGGAGGGCGGCTCAGCGAGTCCTAAAGTACTTGAAAGGAACGGCGACATATGGCTTCAAGTACAATGGAAATAGTACTACTAAAGTAGAGTTATACACAGGCGCGAGCTTCGCGAATGCAAATGAAGACAG